ACGCGCCGCGGCAAACGACCACCCGATCAGTCTCGAGCTCTCCCAACGGCCTCTTGCAGCTGAAGGCCACACTTTCGGATGCAAATTCCTGACTGTCAGACTTGCGAGGAACGTCTCCGAACGCGGGCACGCCCCCCGTAGCGCTGCCAACTATCGCCACGACGCTGTCTCCAGGACGGGGCGCGTTCCTTCTGCAGCTGAAGGCGGCACTTTCGGATGTATCTTCCTGACAATCAGATTTGTGAGGAACGTCTCCGAGCGCGGGCGCGCCCTCTGCAGCGCTGCCAACTATCGCCACGACGCTGTCTCCAGGAGGGGGCGCGTTCCTTCTGCAGATAAAGGCCGCACTTTCGGATGCATCTTCCAGACTGTCAGAATTGTGAGGAACGTCTCCGAGCGCGGGCGCGCCCTCTGCAGCGCTGCCAACTATCGCCACGATGCTGTCTCCAGGAGGGGGCGCTTTCCTTTTGCAGCTGACGGCCGCATTTTCGGATGCACCCCCCTGACTGTCAGAATTATGAGGAACGTCTCCGAGCGCGGGCGCGCCCTCTGCAGCGCTGCCAACTATCGCCACGACGATGCCTCCAGGAGGGGGCGCGTTTCTTTTGCAGCTGAAGGCCGCACTTTCGGATGCATCTTCCTGACAGACAGAATTGCGGGGAACGTCTCCGAACGCGGGCACGCCCTCTGCAGCGCTGCCAACTATCGCCGCGATGCTGTCTCCAGGACGGGGCGCGTTCCTTTTTGCAGCTCAAGGCCGCGCTTTCGGATGCATGTTCCTGACTGTCAGAATTGTGAGGAACGTCTCCGAGCGCGGGCGCGCCCTCCACAGCACCCCCAATTGTAACCACGGCCCTGTCTCCAGGAGGGGGCGCGCTTCGGGTCGCATCTCCAGTCTCCACAACGACACTGCCCCAGGGGTGATGATAGGAGTGAGGAGCACTATTGGGGCCCGCCTGTCTGCCTCCAGGAGAGGGGGGAAACGGCGCGCTGCGGCTGACGATACCCTGCGCGGCCGCACCGCCGCAGGGCTGGCCGTGGGGCGGGCCGTGGGGCTGGCAGTCTGGCTGGCAGCAGGGCGTGCCGTCGGGCTGGCCGTCAGGCGGGCCGCGGGGCGGGCAGCCAGGCAGGCCGCGGGGCTGACCGTCAGGCTGGCTGCGCGGCTGGCAGTCGGTCAGGCCGCGGGGCTGGCAGTCGGGCTGGCTGCGGGCCCGGCCGTCGGGCTCGCCGAGGGACGGGCCGCACGGCAGGCCGCGCGTCGCCGCGGCAGCGCTGGCCAACGCGCCATCCGCCGCCGCCGCCGCCGCTGGCGAGGAGCCGGCAGCAACACCGGCAGTGGCAGCAGCGGCGGCGGCGGGGCCGGCGGCCAACCCAGCCCCAGCCAAGGCTGGGGCCAGCGCCAGGGCGGCCGCGGCACCGGCAGCGGCGGCCGCCGCCGGCGGCCCACGCCGGCGGCCCACGCGAGGAGGCCGCGGAGGCGGCCGCGGCGGCGAGCGCGGCGAGCAGAGAGGGGGCGGCGGCGTCGGGGGCGCACGGGGCCGCCAACAGGTCAGCCGGCGCCGGCGGCACCGGCACCGGCAGCGGCCCAGCGCCCGCGGGGGCCGTGCTGGGGCGGCCGCCGGCCGCCGCGACAGCGCCAGCCGCCGCGGCGGGGGCAGCCAAAGCGGCGGCGGCAGCCGCCGCGGAGGGGGCAGCAGGAGCGGCCACCACGCCGGCGGCGCCGGCGGCCGAGCAGGCAGCCGCCGCGGCCGCGGCGTCGGCCTCCGCGCGAGCGGGCCGCAGCAGCGGCCGCAGCGCCAGGCGAGCAGCGGGCCGCGGCGGCGGCAGCCGCGTCAGAGGCGGCCGCGGCGGCAGCGGCGCCGCGGCGGGGCCAGCACCCGCGGGCGGCGCGGCCGCGGCGGGAAGGCGGCTGCCACGCGGAGCCCGGGGCCGCGGCCGTGCGGCGCGCGGCTCCGGCGGCGCGGGTGGTGGCTCGGGGCAGCGGCAGGCAGGGCGGCGGCACCGCGGCGCCGGCCAGAGCCACGCCAGGGGCGCAAGCGGCGGCCGCACGACGAAGCCGCCGACGCCGCGCCGTGAACGCCTCGGCGCCGCCGCCACGCGGGCAGCGCGAGCGGCGGCAGCCCGGCGCCGCCGCCGCCGCAGGGGACAACATCGCCCGGGGGCAGCGGCTGAGAGGGGAGGGAGACGAGACCCCCCCGTCCAAGCCGCCGCCGGAGGCCCGCGGGCGCGCCCGCCAGGCCGCGGGACCCAGGCCGCGCAAGCCACCTCGAGCCGAGACAGTTTGTCCGTAGGCTGGTGGGGATACGCAAAGCGTCAAGAACTGAAGTTCAGCGCTGCAACTCACAGTGGCATTTAGCTGCCACACATAAGAGCTTTCGGATACCGATGCGCCTCTGAGACGGAGGTCACCCCCTGTCTCTGCAGCGCAGTGCTCTTGCGGTAACAGGCGAGAGTAAAACGGGCAACTCGCACTGCTCCGAAGGAACCGAAACATGTGGTTGTATAGCAATGCAGCGACGGCGATTCGTTTGTCAGTACTCGCGAGATGGTGGCATCAAGAGAGGTGGAGCGCAATAATGGCGGCGCTGGTGTAGGTTGAGCTGAATGATGTTACTGAAGAATCGAACACACTCGCCTTGCACGGTGGCGCCTCATCAATTGGACAATTATGCTGCGAGTCTCGCGGTGCCATGGAATTTGTTTCTGTCGCGCTGTACATTTGATGAATGGGGCCCGTGTGTGGTGAAATGCGGCATGGGTGCGTCGTTACGCGTCTCCGTCGGGGCGTTGCTGGGACTGTCTGCGCGGTGCGGAAGCTTGCACAGCTCCTCATAGACGGTCGCAGACGATACGGTGGGCCTTCAAGCGGCACGACACTGCCATCTAAGTGCTGGACAGGAGCAGTGTTGTTGCCTCTGTTACGTATACGCTGGACGACTCCGAACATGAAAGAACGTCGAGAAGACCTATCTCAGGACCTCGCTCGCCAGGTGCCTGAACAACTGCAGCGCTAGCACGGAATACGAAAACAGAGAACGTGAGGCTCGTGAGGTGCGTGAAATGCTCCACCCGGCTGTTCTAGAAATTACGAGTCAAGGCGGTCGGCGCAAAGGTGGCGCACGCAACACGAGACCCTCTGAAGCGACGAACATGAGCGGCAATGAGGACGGGATGCGCGAGGTGATGCCTAGGAGGGCCCTCCGCAAGGCCGCGGCGACCGCAGCACGTCCACGTCAAGACCACCGGCATGCACAGCGACATGGCGTCGCAGCGCATGCCGGTGGGCATGCCCCGTCGAGGTCGCTCCTCCGAACGCGCGCGTCGGCCGCTCTGCTCTTCCGAGAGAGGGGGGGCGGGCGGAGGAGGAGGAGGTGGAGGTGGAGGAGAGGAGGAAGAGGACCCCGTCGCCCAGCCTCCTGTAGGGCGACGAGATCTACGCATAGCCACAGCGCCCTCGCCACGCTCTCCTGGCCTGCCCGGGAGGGCGTATACACAGCCCCTGGGTTCGGGGTGAGCTTGGCCAGGGAGCGCTGGACGTGTACAGGTTTCGTCGCCCGACCTCGCTGCCTGGCGCTCCGCAGCGGAGAGCCGTGGGCGGGCAGGGCCCCCGCCCGCCCCGCGACACCGCCGGCCAGGGCGTGCAGCGGCGGAGCCCTCCCGCCCAACCTGCCGCAGCCCGTGCTGTGGTTCCCCGGGCAGGGGCAGCTCCCGAGGGGTCAGAACCAGTAACGTCAGGTCGGGCACGTCCTCCTACAGGCGGGTTTCGGATGAAAGAGTCAAAAGGCTCCAAAAATATCCCAAAAGACAAACAGACAGAAAAAAAGAAACTCCGAAATCGTCCCCCGACTATTCTTTCACTATTTTTGTTACATTCCTAGAGGGACACGCCCGACTTAACAATAACGTGCCCTTCGCTCTTCTGGGATTCTGCCGCTGTCGCTCCTGCGCTGAGCGTCAAGGACGGCCATGGAGGCCCCCAGGATCGACCGCAGTCGGCTCTGATTAGCGGGTCGGCCCTGCCAAACAAAGGGTGCCCTTGTGTCCTGTGCCTCGCGGCCCCTGCCTCTCGCGCCCCTGCGGCGACGTGGCCCTCGGAAGGGTCCTGCGCCCTCTCGCGCGTCCTGCCCCGGGCAGGTCCGACGGCACACGGCACCAGGTGGCCCCGCGGGCGCTGGAGGCTGGCCCCAGAGCTGCCCCCCCGAAGGGCCCGCAGGGCGCGCGGCAGGCGGGCGGGAGCAGCCCGGAGCGGGCCGCGCACCGGGAGGAAGAGGAGGAGGAGAGGGGGGGAGGGGGAAATCAAGGGCAAGGGAGGAGGGAGGAAGAGGAAGAAGAGGAGGAGGAGGAGGAGGAGAAGGAGGAGGAGGGAGGGAGGCGGAGGAGGAGGGAGGAGGAGGAGGAGGAGGAGGGAGGAGGAGAGGAGGAGGAGGAGGAGGAGGAGGAGGAGGAGGAGGAGGAGAGGAGGAGGGAGGGAGGGAGGGAGGGAGGGAGGAGGGAGGAAAGGGGAGAGGCGGGAGGGGGTGTGCAGAAGAAGAGCAAGCGCCATGAACATGGACTCTTGGCGCTCCGCGCGGACACGCGCGGAGCGCCAGGAGGAGGAGAAAGAAGGAAGAGGGAGGGAGGGGGGAAGTACAGTCGGACTTGACTGGGCAGGACACACATCGCCATGGGGATGCGAGAGGCAGGGGTCGCGAGGCACAGGACACAAGGGTACCCTTGATTTGGCAGGGCCGACCCACTAATCAGAGCCGACTGTAGAAGAAGAACAAAAACGCCATAAGTTTGAACTTTTGGCGCTCCGCGCGGATGTCTTGGATCTGCGGAGCCAAGAAGTCCGCGCGGAGCGCCAGAGGTTTGTATTCATTGCGCTCTCTCTTTTCTCGAGGCTGGCGCTGGGGAAGATGGAAGAGGGAAGGATGGAGGAGGAAGGAGGGGAGGAGGGGGGAGGGTGCAGAAGGGAGGGGGGGAAGGAAGAGGGACTGGAGATGGGAGAGCGCGAGCTCCTGGGCCGCAGGTCGGATATGGTCACGCCGAAATTCGCCGAGGGCATCGACAGCTGGTAAATGCCCCAGCTGTCAGATCCGGCATCCTCCATCTGGTTGAAGCGAGCTGTCTCATAGGCCCCATCTACGGCGACGCCAGACTGCGTGTAGGTCCAGATCCTCCACTCGGTCAGCTGAGTCAACACATAGTAAGGAGCGTTGGTCACCTTCACACTGAAACCATAAGGGGTGGTCGCCAACAGGCGGCCTGTCGTCTTGATCTTCGCGCGGTTGTACGTCAGCTCGCCAGATGCAGCCAGCGAGCCCAGGCAGTTGATCACGTCGCCAGTGGGCAAAGGTGTAGTTCCTTTACCCTCAGGGATGTAATAGGACTCGGGGAGGTGCGACGCGGAGCAGTACTGGCCTTAATGGGCCTCAGAAACGGCAGGGCCTTTTTTTGGCCGTGTCCAACATCTCTCTCGAACATGCAGACGTTAAAACATTGTAGCCAGCGTGGACAACAACAGTGCCTTGTAGCATACGACGTGGTACAATATATGTGATGCAAGAGAAGTGATGCAATTCGCCACCGTGCAGATGGAAACGGAGTGGGCATACCCTCAGATCCCTTGCCTAGTCCTGTAAGCCTCAATCCTCACTCGTGAAAACCCTCAAAGGGTCAGGGGCCCAAATTGCCAAATCTCCCGATGCTTGGCGCGGCTTGGCGCTTGACCTGTTCGGGGCCAGTAAGGCCCCGAGAAGGGCCAAAAGGGCCCTGCCCTAAGAGGCCTTCAAGATGGTCCTGGAAGGCTTCGAGACGCCTAAAGATCGCTCCAAGACGCCCGAGATGGCCCCAAGACGGTCCAAGAGGCCCCCAGGGCGCCAAGGTCCCAAAAAGGCCAAAAGCATTGATGTGCCTTTGGTGTTTGAAAGCTCTTGGTCTTCTCGCCTTTTCGGTGTTCTGGCGCTCCAAGAGAGCCCAAGACGCCCCCAAGACCTCCCCAACACGGCCCACAAAGTTGCTAAGACGGCCCCAAAACGGCCCAACAGGGCCCCAAGACGGCCTGAGAGGCGCCCAAGACGGCCCAAGAGGGCCCCGAGGCGGTCCCAGGAGGGGTCCAAGAGGGGGACCACGAACAGAAAAGCCCCCATGAGGTCCCAAGAGGTCCCAAAGAACCCCTGAACACTCCCCACGAGGCCCCCAAAAGGAAACCCACAAGGACTCCAATCGGCACCCAGGAAGCCCTGGAGGGGCCTCCCGCGACATCCCAGCGAAAACTTAGAAGACTTATGACCAACAGCTCAAGAACAGAAGCGGGAGGGGCCGAAGGCTATTAGGTGTGTGTATGTATAAGTACAAATACATATGTACTAACATACATGCATACACATATACATTATGTTACATTACATTGCGTTAGCGTACAATACATTGCATGGCATTACAACACATGACATTACATCACATTACATTACATTCCATCACACTGTATTACAATGCATAATATCACATTACATTACACTACATTACACTACATTACATTACATTACACTACATTACATTACATTGCATCGCCTTACATTACACTGCATTACATTACATTGCATTACATTACATCAAATTACATTGCATTACATTACATTACAATACAATACATTACTTTATAGTACAATACAATACAATACAATACATTACAATACGTTACATTAGATGACATTACATTACATCGCAATACATTACATTACATTACATTACAGTATATTTCCTCACATTACATTACATCACATTACATTACATGACATTAGCTTGCATACACTGCATTACATTACAGTACATTGCATGACAGCGCGTTACTTTACAATCAATGGCAAGACGTTGCATGACAGAACATAACATAACATAACATAACGTAACGTTAAATGTATGCAAGCATACACATGCATACATATTTGCATGAATGCATACATATAGACATGCATAGATGCATACATACGCACGTACATGCGTACATACATGCATCCATATAAACATGCATGCACATATGCATGCAAATTGTGCAAGCGAACCGGTGCAACATACGTGGTGCAGTATATGTGGTGTGCGATGTGCGGTGCAGTATATGTGTTCGCAGTATACATGGTGCGGCACGTGCATATATACCTACACACATATATAGACACGCATACATATATATACACACATTTAAGTGCACGCATACACAGTTGAACATATGTGTACAAATATCTGCAAATACTAAACTGTATGTGGTGCAAGCTACGTTGTGAAATACGTGTGAACGAACATACTCATCTACGCTGCAAAAAGTATATGGCGCGGTGCAAGCTATGCGGTGCAATCTATGTGATCCAATATGACGGGTGTGAGATACGCAGGGCCATCTATGTGGTGACGTTTGTCCGCAATGGATTATCAAATCCACTGCTCGCACAACCATCCCACCCGTCCAACCGCAACATGGTTTGCAAAACCTGTGCAATGGCGATGATTGCTTAGCGCTGGCTGGCGAATCCCTGCGGGCGCGCTAGCGCGCGCAAGCTGGCGCGCTGAGCAGCCAGCTACTCTGGCGCGACGAACGCGGCCGCGGTGGAGCTGACCGATGGAGATTCCCCAGCACGTCCTGAACACGCCGCTGGTACGCGGGCACTTCAGCGCGAGTCTATTGATTCGGGCTGAAAGTACCATGGCGACGTCGACAACAGCTGACACGATGATGATAGTACGGATGCGGATGACGACGACGACATTGACGACGGCACGGGCAATGACGGCGCCGATGTTGATCACGCCGATGACGATGATAGTGTGTTAGCGTAGGCGATGATGGTTCCAAAGAAAATTCCGACATGCGCGCGCAGCCCCGACGGGCACCAGTGACCGATCTTGCATTATTCAACAGCGATCGTGCCCCGCCACTGCGCGTGTAACGGCGATCGCGCCCCGCCACATGATTTCGGCACGCACGCGGGGGAGGCCCGCTTGGTCGCATCGGATGGGAAACGATGGGAGCCGGCGGTTTGTTACATATTCCAAAGAGCGCGCACGCTTTTGGAGGAAAACACATGCTGTACAACATAGGGGTGTGTAGATGTTCTCGGGACATTATATTTCACATCCCTGGTAAACTTAAGGTTGTCGGGCCATTTCGGCATGCGCGCACGACGACGCGGGCGCACGCATTCCGCCCCGTCTGTCGTAAACGATTCTTGGCAACTGACAAGTACTGATCGATGAATTTGCGCGTATAGTACTATTTGACCGGGAGGAAGGGGGGTGGAGGGGGCGACAACCAGACTCCGTGAGACGATATGGATTCTTCACAATTAGGATGAACAGATGTGTAGAACTGTTGACGAAATCGTTACGGAAGAGTGGCCCGTTAACCCCGGGCGGGTGGTAGATCCGACTTCCACTTTAAGGAAAAATACAGTAAACGTGGTGCCCGCGATGCGGCACATTGCATGTGGCGCAGTTCACTTCGCAGAACTTGAAAACGTCAACTCCACTGCTCGCGCAATGATCCCACCCATTCAACCAAAATTTTATGTGTCGAACCCATGCGGCGACGATTCCAATGACTGTTTGGCACTGGATGGCGGATCGCTGCGGCCGCGCAAACGCACGCAAGCTCGCGCGCTGAGCGGCCAACGAGTCTGACGCGACCAGTACGGCCGCGGCAGCGGTGACCACTGGGGCCTCCCCAGCACGTCTCGCAAACCGCGCTGACGCGCGGGCACTTCAGTGCGAATCGGTGACTCGGGCGGGCACCGTATCATGCCGATGTCGACAACAGCAGACATTGTAAGGATAGTAATGGTGCTGGTGACGATGGCGACACTGACGACGGCAAGGTCAATGACGGCGCCGATGCTGATCACGCTGATGCCGATGATGGTGTCCTCTCGTCTGCGATGGGGCGTGCAAAATATGTCGACATGCGCGCGCGAGTCATTCACGTTTGGCAGCATGTGATGGACACGTTGAAGCACGCAGGGTTGTGTTACGTTTTCGCAAAAACGCGAACGCATGTTTTTATTGAAAAGCCTTGCTGCGAAACAATTGCGTTCTATATCTATGTTTCTTGGACCCTCGGTATTGAAAGCCTTACGGAACCTACAACTGCCGAAGGATTCTGGCACGCGCGCGCGACGACGCGCGCGCGTGCGCTTCGGCGGTTTTTTGGGGCAAAGGATCGTTGGAAACTGATGATTCGTGGCAAACAGGACCACGCGCATAGAATTTCTTCCAGACGAAGGGGGGTCGATGAGGGCCTTGCTGGGATGGCACGAGTACATATCTAGGAAGAACAATCCAATCAATATCAATACAAAAAACGGGTCGTCAACTGTAAGGGGGACGTAGATCCGAACACTCTGTAAGAAGGGGAATATACATATGGGGTAGGATATGTGGTGCAATAAATTGCTGTTCGCGGTGAGTTGTAAACTCCGCCGCTCGAGGAACCACCCACCCGCCCGCATTTTGGTTTGCAAAACCATGCGGCGGCGATTGCGATGGGTCCTTGACATTGGTTGGTGCATCTCTGCGGCAGCGCTAATCCGCGCATGCTCGCGCGCGCAGCGGCCAGCTAGCTTGGCGCGACCGACGCGGCCGCGGTGGCGCTGCCCGCTGGGCACATCCCAGCGGGCACTTCAGTGCGAGTCGGCGACTTGGGCGAACGCGGAATCATGGCACCGTCGACAACAGTATACACGATGATGTAAGTAGCGGTGCTGGCGACGATGATGTCAGCGGCGACGGCACGGCCAGTGACGGTGCCGATGCTGATCACGCCGGCAAAGATGACGTCGCCCTCGCGTAGGCGATGAAAGCATTGGAAGGAGTTCGACGCGCGCGCGCGGCCGACACGCGAGAGCGGCCCGCATGGTCTTCTTTGACGCGGATCTTGCCTCACCAGCGCGCGCGCAAGGAGGACATTCGAATGATTTCGACACGCGGCGCGACTGGCTCGTTTGGAGACAATATGGTTGTTCTGATAGGTCGCAAGAGCGTGAGTGCCGTTTTTTGAAAACTGGCGTTTGCTAAACCATGTATGTTTTATGCTCCCTTTGACATTAGATTCTAAATCCCTTACGAAACGGACGGTTGTCGGATAAATTCGGCACACGCGCACGACGACGCGCGCGCGCGCACTCCGTCCCATATGTTGCAAAGGATTCTCGCGACAGCACGCGCGAAAGGGCGTTCACATGATTTCGGCACGCGCGCGCGAAACCCGTTTGGTCGCAGCTGCTGGAAATGTTGAAAAACGCCTGGTTTGTTTCGACAATCATCGCGAGAGCGCGCGCGAGCTTTCTTTGAAAATACGTGTTGCGAAACCATGGCGTGTTAATAAGATGTTGTGCCACTCGATGTTCAGATTCTTGCGAAACCGAATGTTTCTGAACAGTTTCGGCATGCGCGCGCGACAACACGCGAAAACGGCTGATTTTATATAAAAGAATACGCGCGCATAGTTGATTTTGCAGAGGACGGCGGGGGGGAGCCGATACCAGCCCCCCTGGGATGGTGCGAAATCAGTTGGGGTGGACGATGGGGCAGAATCATATGTAAATCGCACTATCATTTAGGATGGACGATTGGGGCAGAATCATATGTAAAAACGAATATCCCGGGGGGGAGAGCCCAGCCTCTTTAAGAAAGGAGCAAACACATATAACTGTATATATATATATGTACACACATACAGGACATGAATAATATCCCTCTTCCTACATTTATACAAGCAAAGGAATGGGAAAACCCCCCCATCCCCCCCACAAAAAAAAGAGGCCCCCAGGATCCGGGGTTTCCGGGCCCCCAGGATACCCTTGCCAAGTCCCCCGGCTCGTCCCGGAGATCCCAGGGCGCTTGGCCAGGTCTCGCCAGCAGACGCCGGGCGATCAGAGCGGCGATCAGACAGGCCGACGAGAGACCCAAGACAGCAAAAGAGCGCTCCAAGGAGGACCCTGGTGGCCTCCCGAGGCCGCCTAGACGGCCCAGGAGGCCCTCAACAGGACCCCCGGAAAGCAAAAATCCGCTAATTCCCTTGAGGGAACGTGCATTTTCAGCAAATTCGCTGTTCGGGCTTGAGCAGCGTCCAAAACAACAAACAAGGCCCCTAGCATCGCCCAAAGACGGCCCAAAAGACTCCCAAGAGAGCCTCTAGACGGCCTGGATGGTCCCAAGACTGCCCAAGAAGCCCCAAACGAACCAAAAAGAGGCCCAACAGCCCCTCACAAGGCCCCCAAGAGAAGCCCAACAAGGCCATGAGAGGCCCCCAAAGGGCCATGGGAGGCCACCAGGAGGGACCACGTAGACCCCGCAAGACCCATCAGAGGGCCCAAGCTCCCCATCACGGCCCAGAATGGCCCCAAGACGGCTCGAGACGGCCCCAAGCCGGCCCACCAGGGCGTCAACAAGGCCCACGCGGCGCATTCAACCAAAATGACCCGAATCCCGAGTTCGCAACCGCATTTCCCTGAAATCTGTGGCGAACCGGGGATTCGGCGCATTCCCCAAGAATTGCTTACTTTCGCGTGCCCCGCTGCGACCCGCTGCAACATGACATCCTCGGCTTGGCATTGCGTTGTAATTTGCGGCATTGCTTGACATTGCGTCGTATTGCTTGGCATTCATTCGCGTGGCTTGCCATTCCTTCGCTTTGCGCACCGGAGCACCTGAGCCACGAGCGGGCCAATGTGCGGGCCTACGAAAGCCTTTCATCGTCATTCATTGCCAGACATTTCTGCAAGCATGCACATACACATGAAACCGTAGCCGCTGGTTTCTGGACAGCGCTCCGGCTTAGAGCCGTCTCGAGCCGTCTTGGGGCCACCTTGGGCCGTGATAGGGAGCTTGGGCCCTCTAGGGGTCTTGCGGGGGCTACGTGGGCCATCCTGGTGGCTTTTTGGAGGCCTCCCATGGCCTTCTTGGGCTTCTTGGGGGCCTCGTGAAGGCTTGTTGGGTATCTTCTTGGCTCATTTGAAGTTTCCTTGGGCAGCCTTGGAGCCGTCCAGGCCGTCTAGAGGCCCCCTTGGGGGTCTCGTGCGCCGTCTTTGGGCGATACTGGAGCATTTCTTGGCTGTTTCTGACGCTGTTAAGACCCGACCAGCGAATGTGTTGAAAACGACGTTTCCTTGAGGGCCTCCTGCGACGTCTTGGGGGCCTCTGGAGGCTATCTGAGTCCTTCTTGGAGCACTCTTGTGCTGTCTTGGGTCTCTCGGGCCTCATGTTGGCTCATTTGGGGCTTCCTTTGGCAGTCTTGGGGCCATACAGGCCGTCTAAAGGCCCTCGTGGGGGTCCCTTGGGCCCTGTTAAGGGCCTCCTGGGCCGTCTTGGAGGCCTCTGGAGGCCATCTGGGTTCTTCTGGGAGCGCTCTTGTGCTGTCTTGGGTCTCTCTTCGGTCTCTCTGATCACCGCTCTGATCGCTCGGGGGCATTGTGAAGGCCTGTTGGGCCTCTTTTTGGCTCAGTTGGGGCTGCCTTGGGCAGTCTTGAGGCCGTCCAGGCCGTCTATGGGCTCTCTTAGGGGATCTCTTGGGCCGCTTTGGGGCGATACTGGAGGCCTTCTTGGCTGTTTTTGACGCTGTTAAGACCCGAACAGCGATAATGTTGTAAAAGCACGTTTTCCTAAGGGAATGACATGATGTTTGCTTTCTGTGAGTCCTGTTGAGGGCCTCCTGGGCCGTCTTGGGGGCCTCTGGAGGCCATCTGGGTCCCTCTTGGAGCGCTCTTGGGCCGTCGTGGGTTTCTATTCGGCCTCTCTGATCACCGCTCTAATCGCTTGGGCCTGCTGGCAGGACCCTGGCTAAACGCCCCAGGAGGTCCGGGACGAGCTGGGGAACCTTCGGCAAGGATGTCCAGGGGGCCTGGAAACCACCGATGCTGGGGGCCCAGTTTTGGGGGGGGGGGGGAGGCGGTTTTCCTACCCCCGTGGCTGGAAAAAAAATAAGAAGAGGAATACGGTGCAATATATTACAATCGACTGCATTCGATTGCAGCGCACTGGGGGGGCGCAACGGGGCGGCGGCGGCGGGCGGCGACGAGGCGGCAGCGGCAACCACAGGCGCGGCGGCCGACGCACAGGCCCAGACGCAGCGGCGGCGGATGGCGGCGACGGGCGGCCGCGGCGAAAACAAGTCCGGCGACCAGCACCCAGGCGCAGCGAAATGCTTAAGAAATCATGGGTTAAGAAATTCATAGTCTCAGAATCTGAATCAAAAAAACACAGCTTCTGTTGAAATCTGGGGATTTACATTGAAGCATTAAGAATAATCGAGACTCTGGCCGAAAACTTAAGTTTTCTTAAACATCGCCTAGGGTGCAGGCCCAGCTCCTTTCGGGCGAAAAATCAAAGAGCCCTCCAAGTATTGGCTTGGGAAAAAAAACTCCCCGAGCATAAAGAGCAACGGCTAGGGGATTGGGACCGAGCCGAGACTGGGAGAGGGAGCGGCGACGGAACCGAGAAAAAAAAGCGCGCCAGAACTAACACGAAAACTGCACTGCTGAACTAGAAAATCATAAACATCCCTGTCGTTTCCAGTGCCCACTAAGGTACTGGCCGAAGTCAAAAGTCGAGGGGGCGTCAACCCACACCTCGGACTCCATGGCGTCCAGTGTGCCCACCGTCTGCGCTGTCGTGAAGAAGACGAACATCTCGTTCAGCGCACTCGCGCCGAAGTTGAACGGCTGCAGAATGACATCCGAGAGCAACCCGAGGACGGATACGCTGCCGCCGAAGTCGGAGCCCATGTCGTAGATGCAGTAGAGCTTCTCCTGCGGCGACGCGCACGCAGCGTACGTTTGGCCAGACAGCGGGTAGTCGTCCAGCGTGTAGGTTATACCGTCTGTCACCTCGGTCCGCAGAGACCACACGTTGCTCTCGTCGTTCTGCTGCAGCGCGGTCGGAGGATTGTCGACGCTCATCTCGAAGTACACGACCGACATGGCGTACAGGATCATGGAGGCCTTGAAGGTCACGGCGCAGCCGATCGGGTCGAGACTGTTGGAGAACTGGAGCTCCTCCTTGGTGGAGTCACCTCCGAATCGGCCCTTCGTGTTGGGGACCTTGTCGTCGAAAACGGTGAGACCATCTGGGACAGTGCCTCCGAAGGTGTCGGTGGTAGCGCACGCGTACCCGAACGGGGAGATCACGGTCAGCTTCACGTCGCCCTGCTGGTTGGCGAACAAGTTCGCGCCACTCACCAGACGGACGTAGAGTTTGTTGTCTGTGTCCCCTCGGAAGGGCTTCGTATTAACAAGGGGATCGTCCGCAGTCACCAGGGACGCCGCGACGATCTTCGGAGTCTTGTACACCTTGACGTTGTCGGACGTGGGCTGCCAGTCGTCTGGGGCCCCCGTTTCACTCTCCAACTCCGCGGAGAACCCCTGCGGAAAGAAACCGCCTGGAGGCAGGCTGAGACTACCGACCTTCATAAAGACCCCGCCCGAGGCCGACGTGATGTCGCCCATGACGTCTGGCAGCGTGATCCTCAGAGTGTTGAAGGGCAGGTCGTGGGGGATCTCCGGAGTGCCGCCCGCGACCGCCTCCGACTGGCAGGCGGGATTGCCACACACGCCCCCCGTGGCGGGCGCGGGGCACGCTCCCCCGTCGAACGCGACGAAGCAGGTCGCCGCGATGTTCCACTGCGTCAGTGGCCGCAGAAAGATGCGCACGACGGTGCGCGCCGTGATCGGGCTGTCAACCTGCGGCCTCAGCTTGAAGGTGAACGCCTCGAACCCGTCGGTCAGCACGGTCTCGTCCGGAGCCAGGCAGTTCGCCGCGATCGGAGACTGGCACCAGACCTCGTCGGCGTTGTAGTTGCCACAGTCCGCCTCGGTGACGCACTCCGTGCACGACAGCTCCTGGGAGGGGGTGCTGTCCGGGAAGTTCAGAGAGAAAGCGATGCAGAAGCTCTTCAGTCTCTTGAGTTCTGGGAAAATGGTCGCCCCTGTGTCGTCGACGTCGGCCACGATATCGAAGCCAACGTCCCCGTTCCACTGTGGGTCTTGTCCTACTACAGAAGTAACCAGCTCGTTTTCCTCGTCGCGCGGCGGCACACGGTAATCGGGCGATGGGACCAATCTTCCGAGCTCGACGACACCATCTGGCTCGGAAACTACATCGTCCATGGAGAACAAGAAGATCGGGAACTTCGTGTCCGTGAACACGGTTTCCACCTGCGCGTTCAATACAATCATGTACTGGGTGTTCCTCTGGAGGTGGTTGCCCCTGCTGAACACAATGTGTAGCTCTGGCACATGCTCGGAGGCGTCATCGGCACTGTCGTCCACCTTGTAGAAGCACCCCTCTGGCATCGGGAAGCCGTCAGAGCTCGAAGACCACAGCTCCAGGATCATCTGCCCACAGTAGGGCTGGTTGGCGGTGGACAAATCGTTGTTCGTCCCCGTGACCACCTGTTGGCGGTTACGGTCCCTGAGACTCAGCGACTTCTCGTATACACCGTCGGCTTCTTCGGGCTGGAAGGCGATCACCAACTGCATCTGCTTCGTGCTGTCCGAGTAGCCAGAGATGTCCCCAGTAGTGAATACCAGGAGCACTGGGGCACCGTCGAACTCTGAGAGCGGCTTGACGGTTGTGAGTCCGATCTTGGCCTCGGGCATTTCAATCGGGTTCTTCGCCTGGATGATGCCCACCGGTCCAGCATAGTCGGTATAGGTCCCCGATGTCTGTACAACGGGGGCCCAGCACACGACGTAGCCGCGGCCCTCTGGCGTGGGCCTGTCCCATTGGATCCGGAACTTCTCGAAGATCTGGGTGGAAGAGCGGGACCATACGGTGTTGGAAACCTCGTCCAGGCCTGTCGGGAACTCCGCGGCTGGGAACGAGATCGGGATCACCACCTTGTGGCACGCCGCCTGCGTGGCCGTGGCTTCGCTGTCGCAGAGGACGTAGACTGTGTGCCAGTTGTTGTACATAGCCGAGATCTCGATGCTGAACGAGGAGGCGCTTAAGCTCGACAACTGCATTTGGTCGCCATCCACGAGGCCGTGCGTGGCACTGAAGCTGATCTCGGTCCCTGACGCATGGTAAACCATCGATGTGATGGAGGCCTCCTGGGTACCCGAATCGAGCATGACAGGTGCTCCAGACTCTCCCTGATGGTATACACGAGTTTCCGGGTCTCGGCTACCGCAGTCTGCCTCTAGGTCGTCGTAGCTTAATATGATCCGCCACCGTGCCCCATTGCACGCGGAGGCGTGGTAGAATACTGGGCGCTCTGGTAGGGCTTGCGAAACCTTCTAAGGGACCCCCCCTCTCATCACATGCACGGGCATGCATCGCCTCCTCCGCAAAAGATCCGCGCTCCCGAGGCCTCGATCCCTTGCAAAAATACTGGCATCCGCGCCCAGGAGGCCCCGATCACTCGTGTAAAAACTGCGGGCCCGTTCACCCGAGGCCGCGATACCCTGCTAAATACAATGGATCCGCGCTACCGAGTCCACGCTCCCTTATTAACATCTGTGGATCATCTCTCCCACTCCAGAAACCCTGGCAAACATCAATGGATCCATCCAAGATGGTCGAGACAGGCAACCAAGGCCACCAAGATGGCCCAAGATACCTCCCAAATGGCCCAAGATGGCCCCCAAGCGGCCCAAGATGGCCTCTAAACGGCTCAGGAGGCCCCTACGACGGCCCAAGAGAACCATGAGAAGACCTCCAGTAGGGCCCGATGGGGCCAACATCGTAAAAAGATTGGAGCATCTTCCCCTTTTGGACTTCCTTCAGCTCCAGACGGCCCGAGAAGCCTCCAAGATAGCCCCAAGAAGGCCCAAGAGAAGGCCCAAAAAAATTGCAAATAACCCTTCAAGATGGCCTCAAGGCAGCCCAACAGGGCCCGAAGAGGGCCCCTGGGCAACCAAAGACGGCGCCAAGAGAGCCCCAAGCTGGCCCCAGAAAGCCTCCAGAGGGACCCCAGACGGTCTCAGCGAATCCATTCAACGGCCCAAGACGGCCCCACGACGGCCGCGAGCCCCGAGAAGGCCAAGAGGCCCCAAGACGGTCCAGGGGGGCCTCAAATCGGCGAAAGAGGGCCCCAAGACGGCCCAAAGCAACCCATGGGACCCCTAAGACTGCCCCACAGGTGCCCTACAGCCCAAAAGACGGCTCAAGTGACCGCCATGGGAGCTGCTCAACAAGTGAAAACGAAAGGTGACACATGACGGCCGTCCTCTTCTTCACCCTCATCCTCATCCTCCTCGTCATAAGCAGCATTGTGATCATCACCGCCACTGCCGTACTCGTCATCAAACTCACCGTCACCACCATCATCCTAATGTTCGTCATGTCCCTCGACCGCGTCAACGTTCCCCAATGTTGCCCCTCTCCTTATCATCATCTTGTTTCTCCCAATCATGGTCAAACTCATGTCCCTTACCGAAACCCACACGGCACGGGAAAAAAACATGTCACGTGTTATGGTGTTCACAAACACCGCTGTGCCGACTATGTTGTGTCACGCGTCACGGCTTCCTGCCAATCGCTACCCAAGATGCTGGGCCAGCACAGTGGCGGGTGTTGCCGCAGGCGGCAAAATAACTCGATTATCCGTAGAGAGCGCATAACCGTTAACAGTGAGGTCGAAGGTCACCCCCGTGTACTTGGTCCACACCTGTCCGCCCGCGGGGCCAGCGATCAGCTGGCGCCCGAACACAGCCCAGTTGGTGGCCTCTTGGCAGTTGGAGTCGCAGTAACAGAACGCGTACCAGCCTGATTTCCCCAGCTTGATGTTCGGCTTGCAATTTACCTCATCCAGCGGGTAAGCGGCGCAGATTTGTCCGTACACCTGACCCACTGGCTTGCTCTCGTCGTTCAGGAGCGTCGCGGAGGGCGCGGTGTAGTCTACGGTGCCAGACACCAACTGGTGTCCAGAGAGCTCGTTGGGCTGCTCCGTAGTCAGGCACGAACTGCCATCGATGAAGGCACCCTCGCCGTCGGCGAGGATCTTCAGCTCGCGCGCCGAGTCGCCGTCCGCTTCCGTGCTCCAGCTGCCTGCCGCGACGTCGCCCGCCTGCGTCACCCCGTTGCCCTTCAGGACGACGTAGTACTCCGTGTTGACGGAGGCCGTCGTGGGCCCTGACCCCGCCACGTCGAGGCTGAAGAACGCCGACACCGAGACAACGGTGACGGTGCCCGCCTTGAACCAGTACTGGCTGTTGAGGCAATTCCTGTCACAGTAGCAGATGTCGTACTCCTGCGACATCATGACATCGTTCTGATAGCTGGCAGCAATCTGCACAGAATTAAAGGTCGGAACCTTCGGCCCTAATCTCTCGGGCACGTCATTACACACCACCGCGCTCTCGCAGTTGGCTGGGGCTACGTGGCCGCCGAAGACCTTGGCGCCCACGATCTCGGTTTTCGCCTGGCTGAGATACTGGCAGCCCGCGTCACCGTCGTAGTAAGGTAAATCGGTGGCGGCATCCCGGCGAACAATCTTGTAGCGCGCCTCGTCTGTGTCAATGCAGCCTCCAGGGGTAGTCCCATCGCTACCGCAGTGAAAAGCGAGGTTCACTCGCAGCGTTGGGTAAACTGTCACCTCCGTGCTATCCATCGGCAATACCTTGATAGTGACCAGGTTGCCGATGAACTGCGGGAAGTCGGCAGGCGAACTCGAGTAGCAAGCTCCATCCACAACCCCGTCCTCGTCCGAGTCGGCGTCGCTTCCAGCTCCGTTCGCGTCGTAGCCAACGCAGTAGCAAAGCTTCCAGACCCCTAGGGACGTGCCCGTGAGCTTTCTGCCGAAGTTGTGCACCTCGTACCCATCGAAGTAGCTAACCTCCGAGACTAAGTTCATGAAGGGAAAGACTCCACCAGAGCCGCACGTTTCCGTGGAGTCTGCGAGCATCAGACGGGACATCGAGTACTGGGGGGGATCCCCAAGCCCCATGCCCTCGACCTTGCCTCTGCACTGACAACTCTCGATTGACGCGTCGCTCAAGCAATCGTCCTGCTCCAGGTTGGACAGCGTGCACCAGAAGTTGAGACCGTCTGACAGCGGCTCTGGCCCATACACAATGATCTTGGGCACCAACTCCTCCCACCCGGCCCCCGTGTTGTAGCACAAGCGGAATTCACCTCCGTAGGGAAATGAAACGTCCTCGAACTCAACATTCGCATCCTCCACAGTCGACTCCACTGGGGAGGTCTCCCCGTCGAAGGGACTGAACGTGTCGACTAGCGGAATCCCTGAGTACTCCGTGACCTCCTCACAGGACTGCAGGGTGGCTTGCAGGTCGTAGGGCACGAGCTTGGCGACGGGCAAGCCCCCCCCCACCAGCAGCAGCCCCGAGTCGGCCCGGATGACGAACGTCGTGTAAGTCACTCCCGCCCGGACCCGAACCTCGGTGGCGCTCTCCGCGACGTCCTCCAGGCTGTCCTCCAGCTGGGCGGTGAGAGCGAACCGCACGTTCACTGCCGAAGCCCGCCTCGCCGGCGCCGTGCCGCCCGCCAGCGACCTCTGCACTCGCCCTGGGCCGCTGCCGTTCGCGGGGGCGCCGCCGCACAGCGCGGGCAGCGCCGCGGCCACCAGGCCGAGCAGCGGCGCCACGCGCCCAGGCCCGCGCCGTGCGGCGGCCGGCGCGGCGCCGGCTCCGGGCGCAAACGCGCCTGCAGCCATGGCCCGCGCCGCACCCGTCGATGACCCCCAGAACGTGTGCCAGCTCCAACGCGTGCTTGTCCATCGAGGCCCTTCGACACGACGCCGGCGACGTCAGAATCTACCGGTTGGGCTGAAGGGGGTAACACACACACACACACTGAGCTAACTTACCAGCCTGGAACATATCCCTATCCCTAAGCTGGGCATCGCCTCATCACGATGCCAATCTTGGGGGTTCCCTCAGTTTTTCAGGGCGCATCCCTAAGATTGTCATCGCCTTTGGGCGTGTCAATCTTTAGAGGCCTCCCAGATGGGGTCGGAGTAGATGGGGTCGAAGGATCGCGCCGCATCGCCGATACATCGACGATGCATCGGCGATGTATCGGCGATGCATCGGGGATGCACTGGCGACGCATCGTCGACGTCGGCGATGCATCGGCGATGCCGACGCGGAGCAAATCGGGCTCCACATCGACCCGCATCGCCGATGCATCGGCGATGCGGAGC